GCCCTATATTACTTGAAACGATATGTATACTTGTGTAGTACTCCTAGTATGTAAACTATTAATAAAAAATTCTAAATTTCATAACATATCGATTTTGCACACAAGCCGCTAAATTTAAATTGGGTCAAGTTTTAGCCGACTTTTGAAAGTTAAATTACTACATAATTGAGGGTCAAGTCAGGTGGAAAGGAGTTAAGTTTAGATGCAGATAAAGTTGCCTTGCTGATTGGAATGCCCAACAGAGGACCAACAACAACCTGGAAGAAACAACCTGTCAGTGGTATAGATGCAAGACAAATAAAGGGTGAACTACTAAAGGCGTCACTCGAAGAGTCGTCTACTCCACACAAAGAACTGTAAATTAAATTTTTATTGCCAAATTTATTTTTTCCATCTAGCAATTTTATCGTGCCTCGAGAGCTCTATTCCACTGCTGAGAATTTAGATTCATTTTCTTCATTTAATTGGACTATAATGGTATGTGACTTCCTTATTGAGCAAGTCAATGCACAATTAAAATAAGAAGGGGCCAGCCATTGGGATATCTGAATGGATTTGTTTTCCTTCTGATAGTTAGTGTATTATCATTACCTCGCAATAGTTTTTCTGTTATTTCGTTCAGATCAGATATTGATTTTTGATTTGTTTGTGAAACAGTGGTTTTATGTGGGTAATCCCCACTACTCCTGAAGTTAGTCCTCACATGCTGTGGTGGTCAATAAATGTGAGTTAGAATCATGTAAAGATTCATCTATCCTTTTAGAGGCTCACCACTATACAGGTCGGTAATTTATTTTCTGTTGTAAACTTAGAGTTATTTTTGGAGCCATTTTGGATTATTGTTTAGTTAACTGTTTGAATGAATCTTTTTTTAAGTTTAAGATTCCTTTGCCGAATTAAAATATGATGAGGTCATTTTACTTGCCCCTCCAGTTAATACAACATATAATCCCTTCAGGGCTATTGACCCGCAATTACAAAATTATTTAAGTTTAGAAATATGACCAAAAGCTTGAGTCAATTTATATTCTATGGTTAGTGTGCAAAATTAAATATTATATAAATATGATAAAAATGGTTTGCACACTAGAGGTACTACGCAACTATGGGCCCGTTTGGGGCAGCTTATAGGTGTGATGGTGTTTTTAAAAACGTCGCGTTCGTGTTTGTTTCTCGCGGTGGAGTCGCGTATCTGCAAACTGCATTTTAAATTTTGTATTACGCGCGGATCGCGGCCCGCGATCCGCGTTTACACTCTTTGGTTTACTCAGCTGCCCCTCTTCTTTTCGCTTCTGTTCGTTCGAAGGCTCCGCTGCCCCTCTTCTTTCTCCTTCGGCGTTGCTCCGCAACTCCGTCGCTTCATAGGTATATCTCGTCCCTGTGCTCCTCCCTCCGCTCTTCTCTCTTCTCTATCGTTTCTGCGCTCCTCCCTGTTTCTCCTCCCTGCGCTCCTCCCTCCGCTCTCCCCTCTCCCTCCCCCATATCGATG